CATAATTTTTTGCTATTGTTGTGTTTACTCTTTTTTTAAATACTGTGATTTTAATTGCATTGTTTTGTCATTACCATTGTTGTGCTTAATATTTAAGCACCTCATTTGAAAAGTTCTGTGTAAACGTGTTATACATATCAGCAGCCGCTGATAATTATTTTTGAGAAATACGTTTTTATATGCCTGCTAACTCCTTATGGGTGAATGAATCAAGCATTGGGAGTAACTTTATGAACATGAATCGTCACCCTTTTGGTTGTTGAATGTTGTGCAATATTAACCATTAACAGCTCACAAGCACAATAAAAGTTAGGCAAAGAATACCAATGTCTTATGTTCTTTCACAAGCTGATAAATCAAACCGTAAATAGAACGATTCACCACTTGACCAGCCTGAACAAGTCGAATCTTGTCTCACACCCCTTATCCCCATGGAAGCATACCCACACTGATAATTCAAATCGAAATCATGTGCTCAGGAGACACTGAGAACACAAATGAACAACCTTCCGATCTTCAGTTGAAAGATACTCATCAAAAGCCATTCTTTGTGGCCAAAGACTAAACCAGCCAAAGAGAAGAATTTGGCATAATAAACTCTTCAAAGTTACATAACAGAAACATGTACAAATTACCCTTGATGGATATATTACTCATCCTTACAGGCGGGGCAAGGTACAGCAGATAACTGCAATACAATTACTTTTTAACACATGACTGATCGTGCAGTTAGGTTCCTCTGAAATACATTTCCACAAACCACCAGTTTTCACACCTGCAAGAACATTAGAGAGAGTAATAAGGAGCCTTGCAATTGATCTAAGACACAAAATGTTTATAGCTCAACAGCTCAAACATTTCAGTACCTGTACTGAGCAGAGAATGCAGGTAATGCTGAAAGAACATTCTATTTCAGTGAAATCTCATTGTGGATGGGTCTGCTTTCCTCTGATGTCTATGCAACTTTGTTTTGCAAGGCAGACGCTCTTATCCTGATCAACTTACATAGCTTACATATCATCCATTCATACCGCTGGATGTTTAGCGAGGAAATTCAGGTTAAGCACATTGCCCGGGGTACAACTGCAGTGGCCCACCTGGTAATTGAACCAGGAGCCTTTGGGTTACCAGACCTGCTCCTTAAAAACACCACACCGCTGCCTTGCTATTAGCCCGTGTAAGTGTGATAGGAGTGTCTCTCTATGTTTGTGTTTGTCTAATAGAGACCTGGCCGTCCGGCAGCTCCTTATACGGGGAGGGGATGTTGAGACAATGTTGTGTCTGAGGCTTAGGCTCTGAGCCCAGAGACAGACGTGACCCTATATTGCAACATTAGATGTGCATGCAAGAGACAACCACTGCTGCAATAGGGAATGAGGCCAGGTTATAGCGCAAATCAGAGCTGTAGAGATTCCATGGAGTGTTGCTCACCTGAGTCACGTAGTCAAGAAGTGAAGATGTGAACTTTGACAAGCCAGCAAGACTGGCTGTGACAGGGCAGTTTTGGGACACAGTCCCAGACAGCACAAGAATATGAGTGTCCCTTTGTTTAGGGGGATGATGAAATCCCTATTTTTCACAAACAGATACTCTCTGCTCTGCCGCGAAACAACCCAATCCAGCCTGACTTGACACTTCATCGAAAACACTCATGTTCCGGAAGAGAGCTGCAATACACCCACCCCCATGCCCCCCATCAATCCTCTGTCAGGAAGAGAGGAAGCAGAGAGATTAGCTCACATTAGATAACTTTCCACAGACCTCTCCACCCAAAAGCTTAACAATCCAGCAAACATTCAGACAGCTACATACACTAATACAGGACCCACACAGAAAAAAAGCATTTTCATTTTATACTCTGTAGTTTGTATACTCCTCATACATTGTGCTCACTTCTAAAGAGAAACCTTGACTGCTGAAAATGTAGAAAATCTATATTTGCAAACACATGCAGCAGGGAGAAGTGAGTGAGCAGTACTTACGGCGCGGTGAGGTCTGGACAGTGAGGTTGCTGTAGTGCAGTGAAAGGGAGAGGAGCGGGAGAGCTGCTGCTGCTGCTGTTTCTGCCTCTGCTCTGCTCTCACTCAGGCCAGGGGTTTGGCTGTAATCTACAGCGAGTGACTCAGTCTGGCATTGCGTACTTGTGTGTGTGTGTGTGTGTGTGACCATTCATGTGTGTGTGTGTGTGTGTGTGTGTGTGTGTGTGTGTGTGTGTGTCTGCGCGCACATGAATTTGAAAGCACGCACTAGCCCTGCGCCACCCACCCACTCTGTAGCAACTCTGGGGCTCAGTAATAGTTTCCATCCGCAGCTGGAAATAATAGAGATTCCCATGCAGGCACAGTTTCTGTGGCACCGCCCTTTTGTGATCCACAAGCAGGAAAAGACAGGCACTTTCCCCTTCTTCCTAAACACGCTGCTCGGGGCAAACCCCGGTCCGTTCTCCATCTGAGCCCCATATGTGAGGACTGGGGAGAGATGCACAGCTCTTTCCCCTGTCTCCCTCTCATTTCATAAACAAGGAGATGAGCGGTCAGCCAGGTGCTCCGAGGAGAGCGACTGGCCTCTAGGGGTCACTGTAGAGCAATAGGAAATGCTAGCCACTATGTTATCCTCCTTCAGAAATCATATGCACATGGTACTGTATAGTCTGTGAGAGACACAAGCATTGTGCAAGTCATATAGCGCCCCCTGCTGCTTTTCCCTACATTGTCATGTATAGTTATTAAAATCACATGAGCAAATTAAAAGCTACACCGCCAAGATTTTCTACACTAGTGTGCAGTGTTGTCTTACCTTTCACCTCATTAAAGTGAAAGTGAGCCGCCCTGGGGTGTACAGATGGCAATACAAACGTATGCACATATGACAAGCAGGCTGGCTCAGATAGAGACGTGGGCACATGGACACGCGTGCGCAGATACACACACATACACACACACACACACACACACACACACACACACACACACACACACACACACGCACGCACACACAGCTGGAAGAGATTGTTCTTTTGTGGGTCTCAGTGTTTCCACAGTGTTGCCCAAAAGCAGCCAGGCTGCAATGGGGGAAAGGGCCTCACTTGCCCAACCAGCTCCATGGCAGTAGTGACTAACAGAGACGGGAGGAGGATGGCCAGCACTAAGACATAGGCAGAGGGAGGAACCGAGATGGATGCTAAGCAGCAGTACAGCATGCACAAACACTGAAAAAAATCAATAAAGCAGAGGATGAGCATGTGAACAAAAACACAGTTAGGTTCTTTAGGCTGCATTTCATCCCCATCGAAGCGAGGAAAAGAAACTATAAAACTTTGCTTATCATCAGGACTTATCATCATCATCCTTATCTTGAGCTTTCCTAGGACAGGCGTGATACATTTCACTGCAGAAGTCAGCAGCCTCAGCTGCAATCTGCCGTCAAGTTCACGCTTGATTTGCTGTGGTTAGTTTGTGTGGTTATGCTAATTCTGTTGTTGTTAGCCATGAATTTTAGTAGATGCAAATGCAATGAACCTTAGAAGCTTTCCAAATAACCCCATCTAGTCCTTTTGTGTGGATTTGATTAGTCAATTACTGTCATTCATAGATACCATCAATGATATTACACCATTACCATTGATTATTGCTCTGATAAGACTTGTCGCACGTTGCTAAAAATTCCCATTCACACATCACCCTGCCAACAGTACTACATCCCCTCGCAGCCTTCACAACAGATTATTACACCGATATGTTCACAGGGTGAGAAAACAGGCCGCTGCCTCAACACCAGAGAGAGAGAGAGAGAGAGAGAACTGTAATCCCATCAGCAGCTTACCCACTACTCACTCCTCTCTCCCAGAGGCACTCTCTACCCAGTCCTGTAGGAAGGAAGGTGACTTTACTGACAGGTCAAGCGCAGGGATTTCTCTGGGGATCTCTCCTGTTGTCTCCAACGCACTGGTACTCTCGGCAGCGACTGTTGAGCGCTGAATTCCTCCACTCTCTGCCCTCGAGACTGCACCCAGCTCTGCCATCCAAAATAAATATTTAACAGCGCAGCTACGTGATAAACAATCAAAGGTCACATCCCTCTGCTTTCCCTTCCTTCTTATGCATTGGTTATTGTAACTCTGCTGGTTTCCATATCCTTTATACAACAGATCTTGTGTTTTACTGGGGAAAACCCCCCAGACAGTAAATAGCTTCTTTAAATACAACTGTAATTCACGTTGTTTGCCTGAACAAGCAATAAACTATGTTAGTCTTTCATATTTCATGAAATTTTCTTTTTGATGCCAATATATTTTATCCAGACCAACTTAAACTTTCATTTGTTCCACCATGCAATTCCACCAATAACCTTCTGACTAACCAAGGCTTTTAATGGCAATTTCAAAAGCTGGACCTCCAGGACCCCTGTCATAATCAAGGGAGCTGGAGCCGACCTGTTACTCTTCTCTGTCCTCTTCTTCTTCGTCTTCTTCTTCTTCTTATTATTATTATTATTATTGTTGTTGTTTTGTTGTTGTTGACAATAATGACGTATTAATAAAGATAATAAAAGTAATTTAAAAAAATTCAATGGCAAGGAACAGAATGACCACTTTAAAAAAGATTAATTGTAATCCTAGATTGTAACGTGCTTTAGATAAAGCAAATGCCAACTGCCAACTGGATCATCTCACCAGTCATTTTGTGATTGTGCTTCTGACCCTTGATAGAGGAGACCAGGTCTGATGATTTGCTTATGCAATAGATTATAAAGAATGAAAGCAGAGAATCTTTGCCTTGCATGTTCCTTTCTCCCTTCACAGTGCCCTACTGACATTGGCCCCAGCATGAAGTTATAGGTGGCACTGGATTGAGATATCATCTTTGGGAAATAAAGCCAAGCTCAACAGCACAGATGACAAGAGATTCTAAGTCTTCATGTGATAAATCCTTGTGTGATTATTGAGTCAGGTTTCAGAGCTTTTCAAAAAATGGTAAACGTTTTCATCTTGCATTTGGGGCGGCAGTGTAGCATAGTGGTTAAAGAGCAGGACTCATACCTGAACGGTTGCTGGTTCAATTCCTGCTAGGGCACTGCTGCTATACCCTTGGGCAAGGTACTTAACCCACAATTGCCTCAGTAAATACCCAGCTGTGTAAAAATGGATAACATTGTAAGAAACTGTAACTGTTGTATGTTGCTCTGGATAAGAGTGTCTGCTAAATACCTATAATGTAATCAATACAACAGCTCTTTGTAAAGAGAAAATAATGTGTAAATATATTTAATCAGATTTTGTAGTGTTTCTCAATGAAATGCTGGGCATTCTCTCAAGCAATCGGTACTCTGAAACTGACACAGTATAACTTGCCAGAAGAATATACAATGCAATAATATCATGGCCAGCCCATGGCTGTTGTAATTGTGGCTGATTAAGCGCATGAACAAAAAGGTGCATAATAAATCACATAGGTTTTATAATGCTCACATTATTTTGGATATTGTCTGGAAAAGGTCATGGTAGTATTACCTAGCTCTTGCGCATGTGGTTCTCACACAGTGCATTTTGTCAGAACATATTCCAACATGCTAAAGGATTAAAAACATGGCTTGCCAATAACTATCACATTGGATCAAATTACAGTCAATGTAGGACAAGTATCAGGAGACACACTGGATATTCAAATTATCAAACTATTTTTACCATCTCATTTGGTAATAAACTGAATACAGCCTATTCAACTGAGGAGGAAACTTTGCAAATTACATAAGATTTATAACACAATGAGTAGAGTCACAAGCCAAAAACCTTCCTTCTTATCAAATGTAACAAAATTATATTTACTCTTCCAAGTATTTATAGTGCTTAAAACAGCACTGGAAGAAAAGAAAAATGAAATCTAATTAAATAATGCAAATCTATTGTATTACATTAAGTGCATTTCTCAAACCATTTCTCAGAACTGTGACTCCTGCCCTGAACTACAACTAACAAGTCCACATCTTTGAACAACGCTCAGTAAGTTAATGGTGTGCTCTCACACCCAGCTATTTATTTATGCCACTCCACCCTTCCTAATATCATATCACCATCTGCCAGATCATACATTTTCACCAGGGTGTTTGCACTGGTCTCATGTACAGCCATTCCATAATCTACTGTGAAATCAAACACACTTGAAATAAACATTGCGATACGGACAAATACCCAACCAGCCAATCCAGCTGCATGCTTTTTCATGCCATTGGCTGAGCTTCCCCTTCCAGGACCCCATCAGTCCCTGTTTTCACACATCCCTGGCTCCATAGCGCCATTGGTATGAATTGGTCTGAAACCAGAACTTGAAACAGATTTTTCCAGTGATTCAAAATCAGCTAAAAGTATACACAGAATATTAGCATACAACAACAGTATTGACAAACCCTTTGTTTGAACAGAGCATCATATTAATCATACAGGTTTCAGGAATATGACAATCAGATGCTTCCCAGGAACACATGCATACTGAGACTGCTTGCAAAATATAATGGCTGAAAATATAGTAGACTGTCGGTACAGAAGGTGTAACAGTTGAGCAGGAGGGACCAAAATGCAGAGATCATTCAAACACACAGGAGGATTGCAAACAGACAAAGAGTCTTTACTGAACAAGCAAGACACAGACACAGGAAGGCACAGCATGCAGACAAACTCAAGACTGAGCAGGGAACAGTACAACAGGTGGGGTTTAAATACACCGAACACTCAGAGGTCAGATGCGATCAATCAGTCAATGATGCACACACAAGAAAGTCCCTCTGGTGGGGGCTGAGGGAAGCAGCAGGCAACAGGGACAGACTGGCTGTCATGAGGATGCCTGCTGGTCATTCCGGGAAGCCATTTCTGAAACCCTGACAGAAGGAGAGAAGAGATGATACCTCAGTATGATTTAGGGAAATGTCACACATCCATAAAGGTGATTCCTCGAGCTAGAAAGACAGAGAAAATGTCCTTTCCCACCGGCTGGTACTGCCCTGGGGTTTTAATGATAATTACAGCAAAACCTTTCATTGTGTTGAAGAAGTTATTACCTTAAACTCCAATCCCAGCCTTTTCAGTGAAAGGTATTTTCACATGCAGAGGTACAGAAAGTACACCATTTTTTACAGACACTTCATTTCATTGAAGGACTGATATTAATTTGGAAGACTGTATTACCTCTTAGGAAAAATAAATAAATAACACACACACATGCACACACACACACACACACACACACACACACACACACACACACACACACACACACACAAGCACATAAGCACATAGCTGAGGACAGTGTTTGGAGAGGTAAGCGCAACACTGAGAAAGACTGCGGAAAATTCAGAGTCATTCCAGGTCAGCTCAGCTGGTGTTCATTATGGCCTTCTCAAATTTTCTGTAAAGGTTTTCCCTTGCTCAAGTAATACGTGAATTTTTTTACCATATTTTTTTTTTTACAAACAGAATCTTATATGTATTTTGAGTTATGACAGTTTAAAGTACAATATTGATATTTTGCCATGTCCTGCATACCCAGGCTTCACTTCAAACATTGTCTTTTGAAAAAAAAAAAAGATTGACGTTTCGTTTTTGAAGCGTAAAGAAAACAGATTTGTCAAAGGTCTACATATGCTCAGTTACATTAATTACCATTGAGAGTGTTAGACTTTTACAGGGAATAGAATTATCAATTTACAGTCTTGTAGGGATTTGAATATATAACATATTTAATGATAATAGGCAGTTACCAGTCTGACTAATGCATTAAAGAAGCCAATACTATTTGAAGGACCCAAGGGATCGTTCTGTGACAATATAAGATCGAGGTAAAAAGTTTGGTTGGATGTTTCAAGCACTGATTACTCTTTCTTAAGAGTTATCAAAACGGTCATTAAAATGAACTCGGCTTCAGTCTCACCAAATGACTGGGTTTGCTTTGGGGAGAAAAATCATATTACATACTTTGTGTAAATACCGCCCTCACGCGGAAAACAGTAAAAGCAAACTCTTGAGAATATTTTGCGAATTGCTGCCGACCGGTGGCTCGCATTTAGAATGGCATGGTATGCGTTAATAACTACACCGTTTGCTGCAGTAAAGAACGAAGACAGTATGCATTCAACAAATATTTTGAAGACATGAATACAGATATTTAAATTAATACGTTTACAAGAGATGCGCTGGATTAAACTGCCACGAACTTGTTTTCATTAACCTGTTCTACGAAAATAGGTTTATAGACTGATTTATTTGAGCTTTCGTTATATTTTCACTGCGATTCTCTGAGTGCACAGTTTGTAAATAAGTTGAAAAGGTGCGAATCCACAAGACACACAACAGGAACAATTATGGTTTCTCTGTTTTAAAGAGGAATCTTTGCTGCATTAAAAAATAAGCAATCTTCACTACATTAAGGAGGAAGTCCAGTGTCAGTTCCTCGGAAGACACGCCTCCATGTCCAAATGCCAGTTTCGGCCATTCTGTCGCCCTCTTTAATTGCTAATTAATGTCACAGCCGATTAGATTAGTTTTACAGATCAACTTTGTTAAGTCCATTAATCATTTAAATGTACTTTTATTGGAGATTTTGCTTGATATTGCTGGATTTATTGGCTTTACCCGTCACTCCCTTTAAATGATTTTTCCGAGAATAATAATCTGAAAAGGGCACTACATAATCAGTATCAGCAAATCATATTTTTGTGTGCCTGGCATCCCATTGTTTGTCAAGAGCAGGGTATTATACGCCATGCTGTATTTATTTTTTTTACCAGGCTAATTTGTTATGCTCCACAGGATCAATGTCAATACGCTTCGTATAACCAACACCTTGAGTGGCCGTGCTTCAGAATTGTAACCGTTCTGCTGTATCCTGTATGTGACCAGTTTCACGTATGGGATATAAGGACAATGACTTAATTTAGTACTTGGCTGAGAGTATTTGAATGGGAGACCTCCCAGGACAGCCGGGTTGCTGCTGGAAGTGGTGTTTGTGGGCCAATAGAGAGCAGTCTTTCCTCTGAACCTAACAGGAGAGCAGTGCCTGAGTGCGGTGATGAGGACAATGTGGGAGCTGCTGCCTTTTGAATTTAAAGTCCTGACTCTCTGTGGTTATTATAGATCTCACAGCACATATGATAAAGAGAAAGGGGTTCCCTGGTGTCCCAGGTACATTCCCATTCAGGGTCTTTTGATCTGGCCATCGAATAATCCTCCAATGAAACTGGCTACATATTTTCCCCTTTTCCCCTTTTCCATCTCAGCTGATGTATGGTGAGAGTTCTGGTGTAAAATGGTGACCTTGCATCACCCAGTGGGGTGCTACTCCTTAATGGCGTATAATCGTGAATGACACCTACCCCACACACACACACACACACCACACACACACACACACACACATTGAATAAGATGTAAAAGGTAGTGTCAAATGTTTTATTGACATTAACAAAATTATTAAATACTATTTTACAATACATACAACAGCACTTTGAACATAATATACATATGTATCAGTATACAGTTTTTACAATGCTCACTCATCACAGTTCTACTGAGCAGCAGAATAATGGCTATGTTAGATGCCATTATACTTGTTTTTGTCAAACCAAGAAACTTTAAGTAAAGTGAAATTCACATTTACATGCATTTCAAGGCATGAAGAAACTCTGTATACATATATATCCTTTCTAGAAATTTCTCTGATGACCACAGATATAATGCACTTCAAATTCCACTCATTTACTCAGCTCTGTTATTAACTGATTGTGAAGTACAAGTATCCCTGACTGTACTTTCCCTAACCAACATGTTTTGGTGAACACTGTTGGTCAACAGTGTCAGTAAAATCATTGTTTTCAGGTCAAAGCACAACGCCTGCAACAGTTCCATAACTGGTAAACAGGATTGGTGGACTTCACTGAGACACAGCAACTTCCTGTGACTTCTAGGGGTTCACCGCAGGTCAAAGCCAGCAGAGTGACTGGCGTGCTTCCTTGTCCACTTCCTCTTCGGCTTGTGGTGTTCAGCTTGATGCTCTATGCAGCAGCTTGTGCGCGTCACACTGGGGCTAAGTGA